TCAACATTTTCATGTCAGGGTCTGTCGCTTGTGTTCGCCATGCAATCATGTCATACCATACCAGTTTTGCAACATGCCTTGTGAACGAATCTTTCGCAAGAGCAGCAAGATCATGAAATGTAAGTTATGACATTCATGACATACATATCATGATTTTCATGTTATGACTGGGTAATTGTGTTCTTCATACAGTCATGTTATGCCATACCAAGTTTGGTATTGATACAATTACCGAAACTGCCAGAAGAGCTAAAAGTCGTGGGCGGCTAAATAGATAGATAGATAGATAGATAGATAGATAGATAGATAGATAGATAGATAGATAGATAGATAGATAGATAGACAGACAGACAGACAGACAGACAGACAGACAGACAGACAGACAGACAGACAGACAGACAGACAGACAGACAGACAGACAGACAGACAGACAGACAGACAGACAGACAGACAGACAGACAGACAGACAGACAGACAGACAGACAGACAGACAGACAGACAGACAGACAGACAGACAGACAGACAGACAGACAGACAGACAGACAGACAGACAGACAGACAGACAGACAGACAGACAGACAGACAGACAGACAGACAGACAGACAGACAGACAGACAGACAGACAGACAGACAGACAGACAGACAGACAGACAGACAGACAGACAGACAGACAGACAGACAGACAGACAGACAGACAGGACAGACAGACAGACAGACAGACAGACAGACAGACAGACAGGACAGACAGACGACAGACAGACAGACAGATAGATAGATAGATAGATAGATAGATAGATAGATAGATAGATAGATAGATAGATAGATAGATAGATAGATAGATAGATAGATAGATAGATAGATAGATAGATAGATAGATAGATAGATAGATAGATAGATAGATAGATAGATAGATAGATAGATAGATAGATAGATAGATAGATAGATAGATAGATAGATAGATAGATAGATAGATAGATAGATAGATAGATAGATAGATAGATAGATAGATAGATAGATAGATAGATAGATAGATAGATAGATAGATAGATAGATACGATCAATGTTGCCGAAGTTCGCTAAGACATGCTTCGCATTTAAAACATGCACATCTAAGTCATCCTTTCGTTCGCTGCTACATTAGAGAATTGTACCCACGCATAAAGAAACAAGTGCTGGATCGTTGGTTCTATGACCGCGTGACACCTTTAGTTCTCGCCAGTATGGTGATAGCATTTTGACGTGACGAAGACTTTTGCAGCTATATAAACAATGGCGACCGAGAAAAATGCTTTGCATATTGAAATTGAAATTGAAATTTATTCCGCAACAACAAAATACATGTTACGAGGAGGGCAGGTAAAAGCTGTGAGAACAGCTTGAGAAGCCCTGACCCCCTAGTACACAGGGTAGCACAGAAAGACGTGCGGCTAAGGACGACCAAAATAAAAGTGTTTCACAATGTGCACTAAAAAAAGAAACAATGAAAGATTACAATGAAAGATCACCGAGGTAGTCGCTAGATCACATTATTATATAAACACTAATCGCAATTTTTTTGGTGATATGCTAGATATATCAATGTTATGTTCCCTAATTATGCGGTTTAGAAGTGTAGGCAGTTGAAACTTTAACATTTGATTTCCGTATTTCGTTCTACATTTTGATATGTGCCACACTTCAGGTTGACGTACATTATAAGCAGGAAAATTTTTCTCTAACCTGGCTATTCTAGCAATCGTATCATTATTTTTCAATAAACCGAACTTATATAAACGGCTTAGTTTATAATCATATATTGATGCAACCTGAATGATGTAGTGTTTTTTAAACAATTCTGCTGTGTGGCTGCGATGTGGTAATTTAGAGGCAAGACGCAAAGCTTTCTTTTGCAAGATGGTAAGTTTGCAAACGTTTACAGTTGTCGTTGTGGACCATACAAGAAAGGCATAATTCAATAATGAAGAAAACAACGAGTTATATATGAGCATGTTTACAGAAACAGGAAAATAGTAGCAATGACGGCGCATGACGCCGATTATACGAGATAGTTTAGTAATAATATGGTTCACGTGATCATCCCATGTCATGTTTTGTGAAAAATACACGCCTAATGATTTAAAACTTTTGACGACTTCAATTTCTAAATTATTTAACGAAATGATGGGAAACTGAACTTGTGTGTGGCGGGGGTGAAATAAAACAGCTTTTGTTTTTTTTATGTTTAGTTTTAGAGAGTTTTCTTGGGCCCATGTGTTAATTTTAGACAGTGCGTTATTCGCTCGGCTACCTAGATCGCTGCTACATCTGCTTGAAAAAAACAAACTTGTGTCGTCAGCATATATAATGTAATGGGCAGATTCATCAATACGAACTATCTCATTAACGTAAAGTATAAAGAGAAACGGTCCCAAAATGCTTCCCTGCGGGACGCCTGTTTTAATGGATTTTGTTGCGGAATGTTTGCCTTGAATTACGACGAATTGAGTTCGGTGTTGCAAGTATGAAGTGATTAATTTGTGTGCAACGCCTCTTATACCGTAATGGTCCAACTTTTGTAGGAGAATTTTATGTTTAATGAGGTCAAAGGCTTTTGAGAAATCAAGAAAAGACCGAGTACCATATTTCGGGATTCAAAATTCTCTAGAATGTATTCTTTTGTGCCAGTAGCGCGAGCTCAGTAGATTTATTTTTCCGGAAGCCATACTGCGCTGAAGTAATCAAGTTGAACTTGTCAGTAAAAGAGTTCAAACGTTTCAAAATTATTTTTTCCAGACCCTTAGAGAATACAGGTAGAATCGATATAGGGCGGTAGTTGGACATGTCATTTCTGGGACCCTTTTTATAGATAACTGTCACTTTTGCTATCTGCATGTTTCGCGGGAAATGTCCTGTGGACAAACATATGTTAAAAATGTAGGCAAGACAGGGTGCTAGTATGTCAATAACATACTTAACAGGTTTCATCTGAATATTGTCCGCGTCAGTGGCTTTGCTATTACTGAGTGTCAAAAATGTCGCTACTAATTCACTCTCTGAAATTGGCTCTAGAAATATTGTTTGGTTATTTCGAATATTCATATATTTTAAAGAAGTACTACTGGTTGTAGGGCCGCCAACTGACAAAAAGAAGTCGTTAAATGCATCAGCTAAATCAGGCCCTTGAATTTCTGTACCATCTTTCACAATTTTGGTTAATTCCTCCGGTGGATTATTAAGCGTACTGTTAATTGCCTTCCAAACGTTTTCTGTACGCCCTTGCGTTGAGTTAAACAGGTTCGAATAATATAGTTTCTTTTCATCACGAAGGCGTTTGGTGACAAAGTTTCGGTGCTTTTTAAATGCTTTGAGGGCTTCAGGGGACTTACTCACAATAAATGCCTTGAACAATTGGTCCCGCTTTCTTATAAGCTTAAGGCATTCTTTATTTACCCAAGGTTTCCGACTTTTTTTAAATGTTTTAAATGACTTTAGGGGAAAACATTGAAGGTATATTTCGGTGAACTTGTTCATAAATAAATCGTATGCCAAATTGGCGGCACTCGCTGCGAACACATTGCTCCAGTCGGTTCTGCCTAAGCGCTCTCTAAAGAGGGTTAGTGTTTCAGGATTTATAAGTCTATAGGAAAATTCTGCACGCACTTGTTTGGGTACGTTATTGAGTTGGTTAACAAACATAAATATAGGCATGTGGTCACTAATATTGTGAATCAAAGTGCCAGCCGTAACAAGGGAAGTATCAAAGTTTGTTATAAAAAGATCTAAGAGTGTTGATGACTGTGAAGTGATTCGCGTAGGAGCCGTTATAACATTTTGACAATAATGCGAGCTTAACATTGATTCAAGTTCTAATTTAACACTGCTCTCAGCTAACATGTTGATGTTGAGGTCACCACCTAAAATCAAGGCATATTTTTTTTCACTCACAAATTCTAACAGTGAGTCTAAAAAAGAAAAAAACAAACGGACATTATTTGATGGAGGGCGGTAACATACACAAAACACTGATGTACCACATCTAACAGTGAGTATTTCATATAGAGGGGAAATGCAGGAGAATTCAGACATCAATTCACAGTCTATTTTACTTGAGATTAGCATAGCTACGCCACCACCCCTTTTGCCTGTGCGGTTCATGTAGTATGATTTATAAGTTGGAAACGTAAATACATCATCTTCCGAAGCAAACCACGTTTCCGAAAACATCACAACGTCAAAATTTACTTGTGCTTCACTAAAAAAATATTCGAGCTCATCCTGTTTATTCCTTCCCGATCTAAGGTTGAAATGAACGCAACTGAGGCTTTTTTCACAACAAGTGTCATACAAGTTTTTAAGATTAATAAGGTCTATAGGTGCGGTTAAGGGAAACATGTTAAGACGAGTATCAAAAGAATATCAGGAAGTAACAATGCAATGCGGGGTAACAGTATCACAGCTTATCAAGGTCACCCAAACGACGAATGACAACCGCGCTATCACCCTCTCTTTTCCTAACGAGAATCTTGCCGTTGCAGTGCCATGAAAAACGATAGCCATTGTTCTGTGCCCAGTCTTTTGCGTTGCGCAGCAGCTCTCTGTTTTGCTGGGTCATGTTTTCAGTGATCGAAACATTCGAAGCATCTCTTAGGGCTTTCCGCCTTCCTAGCCACTTATCACGAATTGATTGCTGGGCAAATCGAACTATAATTCCAGGTGTTTTGTTTGGCTTTGCCGGAAGTCTGTGGATAGCGGCGATGTCATTCCCAGTCAGCTCTGGCAGGTTAGCAATCTTGGCCACATCATTCAACTTACACAGCAAATTCTCGTCTGGCGTAACCCGGATGCCGTGAACTTCTATGTTTAGTCTCCGACTACGAAACTCGAGATCATTCACCGTAGCTTTCAGTTGTTGAATATCACTTGAGGTGCAGTCCGCCTCTAATTTCCCAACGCGTCTGTTTAAGCTACTAATGTCCTTTTCCTGCTTAGCTTGACAGTTCAAGATGTCATCGTACTTTTGTGACAACAGCTGGATTGAGACCTTAATCTCACCAACCTGAGCCGGCAGCCCTGCTAAAGCATCAAGCCTCCTAGTTATATCTGCCAGGCAAATGGTTAACTCAGAGTCCATGCTAGTTTTCTCCCCACTTTTCGCTTTAGATGAACGGCAAGCAGCACATCGCCATGCCCTGCGACCGCTCTCTCCTTTAGTCTTAAATGTCGTCTCCGACCAGCCAGAACAACTGCCAACATGGTAAGAGGACTCACATTCGTTGCACTTCAGGACACGCCCATCACAGGGGAGGGGCTCATCACAAGACTGGCACGTGCTTGTCATGGTACGTTGTCCAGGCATTCACAGTAGCACTCAGTTCGCACTCAATTCGGGAGCATTCAATTAGGAAAAAGGCACATTATGCACAGAGAACTCAGCAAAGCACTAAAACACGGTGGCAACGGCGGTAGCGGTAAGGCGGTATTGAGAAATAAGCGAATTTACCAACCTGGGTAAGCAAAAAGAGCTGATTAGGCGAACGTCCTTTCACCGCCGCCGCCGCCACCCGTGTGTCCAGGTACGATGTCGACGCCGGAAACACGTAAACACTTCCGCAGGCTCAGTGACGTCAAGATGTGATTCCGTAGCCACGGCAACCGTTTTCAGGTAGTCTAATAAATGGAGGAAATTTGAACGTTGTAAAGGAGCGCCGCTTTGATAAATGGCTCCAGCGCAACGATTCCAACAAGGCAGGAACCCTAAAGCACCGGCCGCCGAAATGCAGGACACCAACCTGGGTAAGCAAAAAGAGCTGATTAGGCGAACGTCCTTTCACCGCCGCCGCCGCCACCCGTGTGTCCAGGTACGATGTCGACGCCGGAAACACGTAAACACTTCCGCAGGCTCAGTGACGTCAAGATGTGATTCCGTAGCCACGGCAACCGTTTTCAGGTAGTCTGGGTAAGCAAAAAGAGCTGATTAGGCGAACGTCCTTTCACCGCCGCCGCGCCACCCGTATTGAATTGCTAATCAGAACGTTAACGCATTTTGAGGTAAACGTGCTCGATACGCCTCCACGGGTTAATTAAAAAAGCGTAATTTTGTGGCTCATTTTAAATCTTGAGAGAGCTAATCGCTTTTTATGAGTAAGCGGCTCCAAAACATAACCGGTGAAGCGGCGTCGAAGGCAAGCTCTCGCGTTTCACAGCTGCGGCTGATCAGCGATGGTTTTCGTCTACAGAAAACCTAAAAAAAAAGAGACCTCGTCCATCTTTCTTGTGTCTTCCTATGCAAGTCACTGTGAAAGTTTGGCGGTACAACGCTCTTTCTTCTATTCACGGCTACAAATAGCGCACGCATCAGCGAAAGCACAGTAGCAAGTGCGGTAAGCGCCATGGCTTTTCCCTACCAAGCGAAACCAAACGCCCAACAACAGCACCTCCACATTTTCGTCAGATGTTTCCGATAAAATTTTTCTATACGGCTTGCGGGGCGAATCGATTGCGCTTTATTTCTCTTCTTTTCTAGCCCTGTAAGGTTTACTGGTTTGGTTTATATCCAGCGGGAACACGCAGCTGCCGCATTCGTGCTTTGGACTTTGCACAACGCTCATGACATGTCGCTGTGCATTACGCAGGACCATGGTTCGTCGCGCTTGATTATGGTTGTCGAGTCGCACCCAAATAAATGAGTTCCAACACAACTACGCTATTTGGATCGACATACTAATTGTCTGTTCGAAATGCTGCTTGTGATAAACTTCCGTCGCTGAGAGTAGTCGAAATCAGCAACGAACACGTCCGCTGAGCGGACGCTGAGTGATTGCTGTCGGGTGGCGACTTCAAAGCTAACAACAGGAAGGAATACATAGGAGAGGGAACGGCACCTGGATTAGGAGCAACATGGTTAAATTATTGCTATTGCTTTTGCAGGCATGTGCTATGAACAATATAGCTATGTATAGAAGCGACAATGGCTTTTTTTTTATTGTCTTGCCGTACCCCCGCAAGTGTTGTGATATTTTGCATGATTGCTCGTCGATATTTCTCTTGTTGCTTATGACGAAAGACATTGAGGAGAATTCCGGACTAAAGATAAACAAGTTAGAGGAAATTATTCAGAATCAGGCTGTGATCGTCTGGAAGATGGATGACATAAAATGTAAAAGTGTCACATTGAGCGCTAATATAGACAGGATACATGGTCGCGAGGGTGCATTCGACGTGGTTAACAGCAGGATTGAGAAGTTGGAAACTCTATTACGACTGCATGAAAATCTGGTTAATTACGAGAACAGAAGCCAGCGTAATAACTTGTTAGTGCTTGGCGTAGCGTAGACTGAATATGGTGTAGAGAACGAGTCAAATTTACGGAAACTCGTTCTGAGAAACAGGTTTGAAAAAAAAAGTGGGTTTGCAAGTCGAAACATCCGAGCTGTTCATTGCCCTGTAAAACCACAAGCAAGGAATTGTAGACCAGTTATTCTTACATTTCACGGCGCCAGAGAAAATGAAACCGTGCTGAAAAAAAGGACCTAGCTGAAAAGTACTCCTTGGCGCGTTACCCCTACTACACGAACGTTGTCGAAGGAGTGGATCACCCATAGTCTGCCTCACCTGTCTTAGTGGAAAAAATTTGTGACTTTGTGTGTGCTAATGCCAAAACAAACACAAGATTAATATTGGCCGACTATTTTAACATTACCCACATATACTGGCAAAACCCATGTTTTGTTGGCTCCGATTCATGTGGAGTAGAAAAGTTACTGCAAGTTGTGTTCATGCATAACCTAAACCAAATTGCACAAGAAAACTCAAGCATAACGTCGACATTGGTGTCATTGTTGGATGTGGTGTTTCCGTCAGATAAATTGAGCGCATATACTGTCAGTATTGAAGATGGTATTTCTGACCACAAGATGACTGTTCTTCCGGTTGCACTTGGAGTCAGTGATTGTTTCGAGCCCTACATTCATGTACGCATTAAGGATTATGCATGCGCTGATGACGTCTTTATTGCTGTAGTCTGCGCCTAATAGCATTATAATTGATATTGAATCTAAAAAGTGGATGAGCTGTGGCAGCACTTTCAGTTATTCTTACAGCAGTGTGTGGACAACTTTATACCCTAACTCGCGTAAAAAAGACAAAGCACTTCAGCCTTTAGATAATCAGAAATACAAGTCACAAGAAATTCGAAAAGCCGTGTAACCAGAAAGATGAGTGTGCCCAAGTTTCTCCACTTCGAGTGGAGGTAAAGCAAGCACGGCTATTTTCTAAATAAAACTTTTTGGTAGCATACTTTGCCTATTCTTTAGAAATTCGCCAAAAACGTTTTGGAAATACTTCGGTGATAGGAAGGAAGAGGTATAGCTAGGAATGAAGAAAAGAGAAGCAAGTACTACAAAACAAAAAAGATATTGCAAATCACTTAAATCACTTATTCTGCTCCGTCTTCACCGCGACAGAAGATGACGTCGACATAAGTTCGTAATGTATCTCGCGTAGCCAAATAAATGGATGACTTCAAAATAACCCAAGAGGGTGCATATTAGCTCCTATAAAATATAAATGCGAACATAGCAAACAGACCAGCTGACATACTGGCCCACAGTATCCTAAAATTAAATTTGAAAAATCTCTGAAAACACATTTTGTGCCCAGACTGGCACATTGCCATAGTCACTTCAGTATTTAAAGGAGGAATCCAAATGAAGGTGAATATTTACCGGTTTACATCTCTCAAATCCCCCTCTTGTAAAGATTTTGAACACATAATAGCTAGGCATACTATTTGCTACTGATAAAATATTTGTTTACTCGCACCAGCATGGTTTCAAAACTGGCCTCGCCCCTATCACTCAACTCACACAGACAACTCACGGTTCACTAACTCAGTCGATACCTAAGAGAAGATTCATGTAATAGCCATAGATTTTGCCAAGCCTTCAATGAGGTGCCCTACATTAATCTAATATATAAGCTGGGAATAGCCGAGCTAATGCCACTAATAAAAAGTGCTTTAGAGATACCTAACCAATTGCAGTTAGCAGGTAAGAATGCATGGTCATGTCTCCAACTCACTTTCAGCGTTCTCTCGGAGTCCCACCGGGATCTGTCCTAGAACCACTCTAATAGTGTAAGAAAAATGATAGTTGGTTTAAGAGGTACTTACTTTTTGGCACACTTAGGCCGCCGAATATCACAAACGCAGGGTAAAGAAACACACAACGACAAGCACAGGCGGAACTTACAACTAAAGTAGACTAAGCGCAACCCCATAATTAAGTGCACAATATAGAGACATGCGCGCTCTCCACACAGCCTTATGCTATCCAGCTATCGAACTATTTCTTTTCGGATGCACACAACGTCAAAGACGTGTCGGTGATACACTGCTCTCCTTTGTTTTAATGTAATAGGCTTCCATCAATTCACACGCAGTTTCATATCTACTTCTACATAGAATCTTGATCTCTTTAAAGCGTGGCACACACTTGTAGGCTTTGCACTGCATAGGCAAATGTGCCAAGCCATCCTTCTTTAGACTTAATTCATGCTCAATGGGTGTTGCTAAAAACTTTTTCATTCTTACAGCGCCCAGTGAACCCAATATACGAGTTGCCACAAGAAAGAAAAATCTCATAAACCACACCTTTGGCGCATTTCCCGTACGTCGTGCCGTGTGTCTGTTCAATGTGCAGCGCACATTGACCAGGCTTTCATAGCAGTAATATCGAGATATGTTGACAATTACCTGGTGGTGATAAGGGGAGTATAGCATGGGGTAAATGTGTCCGGAGTATTCGCGCCTGGCCCGAAGGAAACACGGACTATATTTACGACACACCGTGACTGCCCACAAGTTGGAACTAATGAAATTTTAACTACACCCGATTGAGGCTCAATCTGAAATCGTGGGTCATCAGGTTTGTGCCACACATGCACGGCGATAAATTTGGTTGTGCGCCAACACGTTTTTTTGTGTGTGTGTGTGTGTGTACACGCACACGCACTGTGATGGAGGGGGAAATGCTTCGAACCAGTGCGCTTACATTAAGGGGCACGTTAAAAAGAATTGAGGGGGTCGCAATGTTTCGATTCATTCAATACGGCTTCTATCATAATCAAATTATGGCTTTTGGACGTTACACGTCAATTATTATTATTATTTGTTATTACTATTTTTGTTGTCGTTATTAATAATAATATTATTAGTAGAGTGGGCAGCGGAGCTTACACTAATGTGGTAGCATCAAACGTATGTTTGCGCTGTGATTGCGCAACAGCTAGTATCAAGAATGTGGGGCATTCGTTTTTTTTATATATACCGGGCGTCCATCTGCTCATATGGTGGTTTTAGCACGTTAAACCCCACATATTGATATTTTTTTGAAATACAGGAATTATCTCTCACGAGATGGCCATTGGAAAGCAGCCGTATGATTTTAACTCCCGTTACCTCTAGTGAGACAGCGGTCTTCTCAGATCCACTTACAAGTTCCCAATTGTATCACACAGCGCTGAACTCAAAAAAAAAACGCCACATTCAAATATGTGCCAAACGGCTAGCCCAAAATAGGTGTCACAGAACTCCTGTGTGACAGTGCTCGTCTGCTGACCTGAAAGTCGCAGTTTTATTCTCGGACGAGCGAGGAGCTGCTTGTTGTAGGCGCAATGCTAGAGGCACTTGCATTACTTCAGGGCATGCTGGAGTGCCCCTGGTGGACAAAAAACTCGAATCTCCTCACTACTGCTTCGCTCGTAATCATGCCGTTATTTTACATAAACTCATTTTACCAATACAACAAATAAGTGTTGCAGTTTCTTTTATGGTTCGACCAGGTGGAACACGAAAGCACTCATAATCAATAAAACAAGATTTTGATATCAAACGGAACTCAGTGATGTAACCTAAACCAACCGCGTTGCAGTTCTCTATTTTTCTTAGCTGGGTTATAACCCAAAGCTCTCCAATAAACATGATAGGTACGAATGCATTT